TTGTTGTTATTAATAATGTTATTACACTCGGTTGTTTCCGCTGATGATAATCTATTATCGATGAATATTAAAGAGTTTGGCCCAGAATTTGATGGCACAATATCTTCAAAATCGTTCGGATTTAAACTTAAAAATGTCTCTTGATCTATTAATATCGGTTGTTTAGATATAAAATCGTTACCACTATTATCATAACCGCAACCCAGTGTATAGGCGCTTGTTATTGTTGACGAAGAATTGTCAGTTTGAAAATTTAAATTTAAATCTTCTAAACTTTCTGTTGATTGTTTGTGACTAGATGTTCTATCACCACCGAATTTTAGACAATTATTTAACGAAGATTTTTGCTGAATGTTCTGATTCGTTGTCGATATAACAGTCGTTGGACCCACAAACTCAAATTGTCCAGCCCACATATCATAGGCCAAATCAATGCTATCCGGTTGACTGGCAGGTTGACTACTCATGATTTCTTTATATTAAAAAACAAAAAAAAAAAAAAAAAAAAATAATAATAATAACAGCGGCAGTAATAGCTTAGTGCATGTCAATAAAACACTGCATGAGATGTGTTTTTTTTTTCGTTTTTTAAAGACTTTTATAAAATATTTAAGGCACTAATTTTTATTATATCTTTAAAGATAGTGGAAGACACGACTTTGAAGAACTCTTTGTTTTTTTTCTTTTTCTTTTTTAAATATATCTCTTTGCTATTATTTTACATGATTTTTGAGGAAAAGTTGTTTCTATGAGAAAAGATTATATGTTACATGGTTTATTTGACTTTGATTATATATCCTGTCGCAATTTAGTTATTACTAGTACTGGATATGCTATCACTTTGGCAAAAGTCGATTTAGTTTCATTCATTTCGTTTTCATTAATTTTCTTCAACTTTCTTTGTGTTTTCTTCTTTTTTTTTTTTTTTTTTTTTGAAATTCTTCAAGAGTTTACTCTTATTATAGATACTTCAACTTGAGCAAATTCTTGTCAGTTTTTGTTTTATAAATTTATGCTCGAGAAAGTACGTATTCTTGCTGATCTTAAACCTAAAAGTTGATTTAAAGGTACAAGACAAAGACAATTAAAACTTGGTTCTAAAAAATCAACTCCGTAGATGTGGGCTCGATTCGTCGGTGCGGGGACACCTAACAACGCCGAATAAGCAAAAATTATTACATATTCAATCGGTCCACAATAGTCTACAAAGTCATCGAATATTTGCTTAAGATTGTAATTCTTGTTAGCATCGATGCCGCATAATTAGCAAAATAAGGCTGTTAATGGGACGGGTATCCACAATCGTGGTTTAATTTTTTACACATATATACATTACAATTTTTAAGATATCTATTTATCTAAACCAGGGAATGTGTGTACATGTACATGTAGGCATGTAGGCATGATCCAGGCACCACGACGAATTATATAGCTAGAGAAAAGGGGAAAGAGCACTTTAATCAGTGCCAGGACTCTAGAATGCCTTTCAGCACATTCAACTTAACCTCTTCACGGACGAATTTTTGCTCTATTTTCTTTTTCATTCCTACTATGCCAATCAGCTGTACACCCAAGACATCGTTGTTTATCTAAGGGGTTTGCTCACGAAAAAATGGAAAAGAGCTTTCTAAAGCGTATATAAGTTATTGATTGCAACAAAAGCTTGCTGTTCCACAGTGTGTTGGGCATTACATCCAACATCTATTCATTCCCAAGCTGGCACATCAAAGCCACTAAACAATGAACGATAAAAATGCATAATGAAAATAGTTTTCAGTAACGCGGTCTTCTCACTTCGAATAGAAACGATTCAATGCTAGACTCTACTTGTTATTCCGTAGCACATCAATTTGTAACCGTAAAAATTAGACATTAAACCGCAAGATTACTTTTGTTATAGACCATCAAGTCACATCGCTGCATTTAAAACATTGCAATAAAACATATGTCACTGCGAATTGTTTCACTTGCTTAACTAATAGTTCTATTACACTTAGGCGACACTAGGTACATTGTGATAGGTAGTGAAGAAGTCCGTATCGAAGTTCAAGTCTGAATGCGATAGAATGTACTTTGGTCGTAATTATAGCGAGTGCTTAGTCCGTGAACGCATAACATTTTCTGTTCGGGCGTACATCCACTAAGCTCTGGCCACTTCCCCATCTCAAGTCTCTTTCTTCACTTCTTTCCGAACGTCATCGTATTACACGTATATGGGGTCATCGCTTGGGTGATTAGTGTGATTGATCATTCAAAAAAAAAAAAAAGCAATTGCCCTTTTGCTTTTCTATTTTCTTTTATTTTTGATATTTTTATTTATTATTTTCTTGGAATTATTCATGGATAGTATGCGCGAAAAATAGGGAAAATTTTTAATTACCAAGCAATTGCTTACACTATCTATTAAAACAATACATTATCTGAAAACTGTTTATTTATTCGACAGAACGAGACATGGCATAAACAAATCGATGCTGGCTTTCATTAAACGATGCATTCCGAATGAAAAGGAATAATTTTGGCGAAACAAGTACTCATTTTTTCATATGTATGATGCAATCGTTTTCATTACTTCCTGCCCAAAAAAAAAAAAAAAAACACTTCACCAAGCTTCAATGATCTGAGAACGTATCCGACGCCAGTCCAAGACATATATTTCTTACAGCAGGCGTCTCGAAACGTACCTCTCCAGTAGAAAATCTTTGAAGGATCTACCTCGCGCCTAAAATCCGTACAAAGTATAAATCGGTACGATTGCAATGGAGTAGATAGATGGTTTCTAATTCTAGTTTTTTATTTTACCTAATCTGGAATTATAAACTGGAAGACAGTTTTTTATTACAATCGTTAAGCAAAGTCTGCTAAATAAAAAAAAAAAAATGCATTCAACTTTGCTAACGGCCTCCTTGTATAACCTCAAGAGTAATAATTTAATTTTAACACATTTCCTGCCCACTTAGTTAGTATTCGTTGCAAAAAAGAAAACCACAAACTTGTTACAAATTGCTTTTCAACAATTTTAATCTTCTTGTGGTCATTATATTTAATTATGCCTTCAAGTGTGGGTGATACGTGCAACTAATTCTGTTAACTGACAGAAACATAAGTTTTATTATTAAAAATTGGAAAAAATGAATGAAATTTATATTGACATCGTCTTGACAAGTCTTAAGGCCCGTCATCACTTCTTTACTATTGGTGGAAGGGTTAATTGACCGATCGGGTCAACTCTAATTATTGTGCGTATTAATCTGTAGAGCAAAATTCTACTGTACTTTGAAGTTGTTATGATTACGAAATTTGAAGATTGATTTTTTTTTTTTTAATTTTTTTAAATTTTTTTTTAATTATTGCGAACATTTTTGCAGACGAGTGGATTTAATTTTCAAACTTCACTGCCTATATATGAAAAGGAATGAGTGATGAACGGTTGGACGGACGAACGTAGATAATTCGCGTTGCGAATATTTTACTTTTTTTATCTTCACGTTACAAACAGAATAAAAGAATTAGCATACTCTTCTCGATTGGCGAAAGATATGTGAAAATAGAAAAAAAAAAAAAGGAAAAAGAAAAAGAAACGAACAAATTTCTGCTTGGTTGCCTTGAAGTTAAACCCACAAGAGTTTTAACAGAAGGCAGCACGTGACGAATAACCAAACAAGTCAGACTGCGGCTACATTTCACACGAACTACCCATAACATGTTGAATGTTGAATTGTGTATGGACATCATCATCTTCATAACAAACTATATTATAAAGCAAGAATATGTAATAGGGCGGAAGCTAAGACAGAAAAGCAAAAGTAAATAACAATTTATGGAAATTTCTGCAGCTATGAAGGAAAACAACAAAAAATTTGGATAAATTCCAGAAATCATTTAAATGCATTTATGGACAGAAGAAAAAAAAACTTGCAAAGCTGTTCAAGTATTAAGCGCTGATCTCTGTCAATTCAATAGGTTTTCAAATGCATTTATAGCACATATCAGGCATATGTGTATGATTAGTGTGATTTTTTTTTCTTTTGTTTTTTTCATTTTTTTTTTTTTCTGTTTGAAATTTTACCGCCACTAACGTGTTTTGAAAAAACATTAACATTCAATTTTCATTTTAAATGCGTTTATTTTTAAACTCACTTGTGTATGTGTGTGTGTGTGTGTGTGTGTCTGGCTTCATAATGGCAACGCAATAATGCACAAAAGACTGAAGAAATGGTGTGTTAGTGTCGCCATCGTTGCCAGTAATGACACCCAAATATATATATATATATATATATATTCATATGTATATATAGATACGTACATATATATATATATATATATGTGCTGAAAATGATGTAAGTGAAAGTTTTAGAGAAGGTAAACGTTGTTAATGCACTTATCACTTGCACATATTTGCTGACTATTTCGCATACACATTGACACACGCACATACAAAACACGTACTGCCTTAAACAAATGTTTTTAATAAGCCTTGCATTGCAATAATAGATAGATAGTATTTAATAACTGGCATGTGAAAATGTTAAAGAAATGTCAAAAGAAAACAAAAAAAAAAAAAAAACGGCAACGAATAAAAATCATTTCACCCTATTGACCGGCGATCATCACAAAAATCACATTCATTAGAAATTTCAATGACAAATAGAACAGGCATACATACATACATACATATATACGCGTATACATACGTCAATGCAGACAGACACATGCGGCTCGTGAACACATAATCGTTGCATCAAAATAAATTTTCTTTTGAAAAAATGTTCATCCATTTTTCAAGGGAAATTACATAAACGTCCGCATATAAATGCATGCATGATTATGAATCAGTCAGCAGTAACATCAGTCTAACATCATCATCATCATGCTATAAAAATTTTTATGATTTTTCAAAATAAAAAAAAAAATGAAAAAATTATTATAATATATATATAGGAGAAGCAAGATCTGTGCTGACGAGTAATATGTGTGCCATAAAGATGTTATTTTTATGAGATATGAAAAAAAAAAAAAAAAAAATAGAAGGAAAATTGAAAGAACAGAGAGAGATGCAGAGCAAATACTTGTTTATTTTAATTAATTTCAATTTTGTTGTACGTGCAAGCGCTTGTTTATCTATTGTGAGGACAGCAAAAAGATGATTCACTTAAAGGAACTTAATTGATTGGAGGGAAGTGTCATCAGTTTCAATATAACATAACATATGCAAAACCACTTCAGACTTAAAATATCTCCTTATATTTACTACGGCCAATGGTCAATATCTCATATAATTGATATAAAATTTGAGAAAACTTTATAATTAATATAAAATGCAGAGAATCTCTCAGCATAATTGAGTTCTTCAGTTAAGAGGTTTTCCTTTTTGATTTCAACAGTAGCTCAGTTTTGTCGTCCCACAGAACACAGACCTAGGTATATATGCTTATGTATGTAATTCAAGATCAATATCTTTATAAGTCGGAATATATATCGTCTCATATAAAGTGTTTGCAAGATTGTAAAAATAATGAAATAATCAAGAAAGTATTTTTATGAAAATCAAATGCTCAGATGCGTCCACAATAGACCGTAAGCAAACTCTACGAATTTATAACAGAACAATATTTATGATCTGGTGTTGAAAGCTATCTGGATATAGTGACGTTCTTTTCCGTTTTCAGATTTTTGCATTAGATTCGCTTCGTCAAGATTCTTTTCTTTACCCCATCATTCACATTTCATCGCTAAGTGTTTGTTACCTTGCAGAAGGGATTCACAGAAACGAATTCGATCGAGTAAGTAATTTATATCGGACGTTGTAAAACATAAATGTGGCAACTCTTTCAAATACTTCAGGATAGTTTTTAGAACTAAACTAATGACTAAACTATTGTTTGACTATTTTGACATTTCGTGATACATTTCACCCATGGTGTTCAGTAAAGTTTCAGTGCATCATCTATCGTAAAATGTGCCACCATTTTGTATGAAATCTCATTGAAAATCAACATCACTCAAAAACACATAAAGGTGCATAAGGATGATATACACAATCAAGATA